TTGTCGGACAACCTCAAATTCTTTCTCAACATTTTCTAAATACAAAAACATTTTGAAGATATTTGTAGAGATTAATAAATTTTGTGTAAATAATTAATATAAGAGAATATTGTAAACTATGATAGATAATTAACAATCCATTACATTGGAACATTATTGTTTCAGGCCATCATATACGAGGGTCAGGACAAAAATCCAGAAATGTGCAGAGTGTTGCTTACACACGAAGTTATGTGTAGGTATGTCAAATGTTTATTTATCTTTTTATAATATTATGTAACACCTCTTGTTGAAAAACAGACAGCACGTTTCAATTAGGTACAAATACCAAAAAAATATTGAGGAAAATATTCCGTATCTATGCGAGCCTCTTTATAAAATATGGTTTGCATTGTCCGTCGTAATGTATACAGAGAATTCACGTTCGCGAGACAATCTTAGACAAAAACATGTATGTGAAGTGAAGTACTTTAGGACACGAGAGAAACATCAGAGTTGTATTTTATGGCAGTATAAGGAAAGCAAGGTCCCTAGGGATTGGATGCCTTAGAGACCCGATGGAATTACACAGAGCCATGGGGAAGATATTCAGAGAGCGTTACCAAAAGGAGGGCCGACGATGCATTATGCCGTCGCGTCGTCTGTGGAGGGCAGGGTGGCTTGCTTGTATTGCGCTAGCTGCCTACCTTTTAGACAGTTTCTCCCTAGAAAAACATTTTCAGTGACGCCCCTCGTCTCAGACACAACATTCAACAAAATTACGTTCAATTTCCTAAAAATATTTCCTTAACATTCTCTTCAAATACCGAACAGTACAGATTTTCTTTTCTTTTCGTAATGACGTATGGATAGATATGTTAAAAAGTCTCGAAATTAAGTCTTCCAATAAAAGCTTCACTTCTAACGCTGTTGGTTATTGAACGATAGCTACCTAAATTAATTCTCTTTCCCTCTCATTAACAATAACCCTAAACATGTTTTTCAAAATTATTATTCAATACTTATCGTAACCTTAACTGAGAATACGTTCTTTCCATTTTTATAGGCAAAAGACGCATACATGCATACCTACCTATACAGTGTGCGAACAAAACAGTATAAAGGTCAAAAAACAGAGTATTAATAGTTCACGGAAATGGTCATTAGAAACGGGCGTGCATTTTTACAAAAATTATTTTAACAGATTTTGTTTAACCTCGCGGTCAGACACAAAATTTCACAGCATGAAGGATAGGTATAGAGAAGCTTTCAGAAATGCGGTCAGATAACCTAAGCTAATCTCTCCTGTTGGAGAAAAAGTCATTTTAGACGTAAAACAAATAAACAACTTTTGTATCTTGTAATTGCTAATTCTGTTTCTGTTTCAGTCGGTGTTGTGACAAAAAAAGCTGCGGAAACAGAAATGAAACTCCGTCAGATCCTGTGATAATAGATCGGTGAGTTAATTCTACCGTTTTTGTTCTATCTAATTATATTTGATTTTCGGAAGTTGCCTACAATGTCAGTTTTGTCTGTTGTATTTTTCGACCTGTAATTTGTAAGAAGGTCACTTATTAGATGGATTTTACCGACCCAGCTTTTGGAAAAGAACCTGATAAGTTTTAAAAGTGCAGAATAATAATAATTCTTCATAATTCTTCTGTTAATGAAGGTATAGGTACTTGAAGATGTTTGACAAAATCAGTGCTGTAGGTACTTGTTAAAATTAAATTTTTTTTAAATTTACCATTTTCATTGCAAAGATATGCAAGGCATTTGTTTGCTTTTGTGGTTTTTCTTACAAAACATTTTGCACTCACTGGTTCTCGAATTATTAATGATAATTCTTAATTTATTATAAGGCAGTCTTAAATGTAGGTAACTAGCAGGAAGTGGGTGCACAAAAATTGGCCTCTTTTTTCCAGCAGTATTCAGACATCGTCATTCCTCTCGAATTGTGTTCGTCGCGTCGGCCTTGTATAAAATGGCGGCGTCTTAGAGGGAAAGCGGGCGAGCAGTAGAAAGGGGAAGAAATATTTCCCGTTCCCTCTCCGGACAGGCAAATAAAACGCTACTCGCCTGTACTCTTGCAAATTCTTTTTTTCGCCGAACGATTCGGAAAACCCAAACATTTCCTCTTACTGTTGTGAAAAAATTTGGACGTTGTATACTTAAAATAATAAGACGTACTTACACTAATAAAAATCTTACAAGATTCGGTAGGTCTTTCAAGCCCTTAAATATAAAATTTTCAACATAAATATTTAAAATCTCAAAATTTACAATCGTATCATCTACTTATTTAATTTGCTTTCCTTGCTTTAGTTTCTCGTCTTACCTATATATATATATACAATACATACACTAAGTATCTCTCGTAAACTATAGCCGTTTCTTACTCATATATACGTGAAATGGTAATTGTACCAACTAATCGTTTTGGGTTTCATTTTATCAATTAGCATCAATTTATAACTAAAAACGAATAGAAATTTAGTTGGACACCTAATAATAAAATGTTTACTATACCTATCGTCTAATAGCTATGATCCTTTCGAAGCGCCCTCAATGTTTTCGACTCTTTAAATTCGTCGAACTATAGTTTCAAACAGATGGCTGGTAAACCACCTGTCATGTATGTCAAAACAGTCCATCCCACTTATTTACAGAATATGCTAAAAGAAAGAGTCCTTCTGTATAAATGGATGGCATGTATCATCGATTTTAGACTAATTGAACTCCCCAAGCTAAGGATTAAATACAGAGAAGCACAACGAAAAAAAAAACGCTTGTAGATATAGAAAGATAGATTTTTTCTATGATTTACTGCTAATGATGTAAAACAAATTGATGCAAAACTTAAGTTTCATTCGACAATTATTCCTATACTTATACCTTCGATAATTATTTAGCCAAATAGCGATTTCTTCAGGTAGATCATTTACTAAAATCCTCCGGGCTCTGTTAATTTCTTTTATTGTCCTGTAATTGAACTTAGCCGTAAAGTTCGTTAATATTTTCGTTGTGCTTGGCACAAAACTCCATGATTTTAATAATTTTCTTTGTCGTGAAATGCTTCACAGGCTTTACATCTGACAACGTGTCGCCAATCAACAAAGTTGAGTTTACTATCACATACAATTGTTAATTTAAAAACGTACTTATGGGCGTTCGTATTTGGAGATGTCCTTATAAAGCGCATCGGACTTGAAAACCTGATACATGCATAGTAATTCAATTGACGGGTCTCCTTTCTACCACAGCAAATTAAGACTAAAACTCTTCGCCTTCTAAGGGAACTGTAGATGAGCGCACAATGCAACACAAAAGCCGCTGCTAATAGCTTTTAATTTGAAATTTATAATGTTGTGAAAAAATGACACTGAAAAATAAAGTGTTCATTAAGAAATTTCTACAGATTCATTTAAAATCCAAAATCGCGTTTCGACAATCAAAAGGTGTCGTCTCTACTATAGTTAGAGAACACCTGGAAACTGGATTGTATCAATTTCAGCATTCTGTTGTATGAAGTTGTAAAGGTATCTACCTAATGGATTAGGTAAGAATTCATATTTCTTCTTATTCTTAATGTGGGTGTTATTTCAATAAAATTCATGTTATTGTTTCCAATTTTTTGTAATTGGATTTGACTAGTACAGTTTCCTTGAAGTTGGTCTTGCAGTATCAAGTGGCCTGTCAAATACTTTGAAAATAACGGGCCAAGTGGGTGAAATGAAGACAACTGCTGAAATTGAATTAGTTTTACTTAACCTAATTTGCTAGGTCCCGATACGAGCTGTCTAGCATCGCGCATATAAGAAAGAGACCGCCTGATAGTAGATCGCATGTGTGCAATTTGGGGAATTGATTGTATAGTATCGTGTAACCGAAAGCAATTTGTGTTGGGCGAAGTGGGCTCTGACTGCCACGTGGCTGGATTACGAGGTCGCGTGCATATGTTTTGTCGTTGCATATGCGCACCCATCATCATTGTTGCATGTGTGCCCGAGAATCTAGTCCGCGCGCTCCAGAATTGATTAAGGAAGGAGCTCTCAGTGCCACTATTCTATTTGACCTACGCATTTCGTACTTATTAACTAACAACAAATATACAAAGCCCTTCTGCTAAACTGAGCTGACAAGTGTGTTGATGGAATACCCTATTCAAACTTTTTAGGGGTTAGTGAATGGAAACTTTAAAATATTGTTGAGTCTTAAATTTTGTAATTTGAAAAAAGCTTACATTCACTACAAACAAAAAGGTTTTGAAATCGTAAGCCATGTTTGAATGATATTTTAAACTTTGCCCTCCATAGTTTCCATATGTTGTACGTACATGAAACATTTAAAGTGATTGAGTTTTAAATATTGATTTTTCAATTTGAAATTCTTTACTTTTTTACAAAAAAAAAACAAGGTTTTGAAATCTTAAGAACCTGTTTGACTGAGCCATGTTTGAATGATATATATATATTAGACATTATCTTTTATTTAATGATAAATAATTTTCACTTTTGAGTTAATATCTATAAATGACTGTGAATGAAAGTGTTTAAACGTTTTTGAAAACGCCTCTAAAACCAAATTGAGATAAACGTCGATAGAATAGCGCGAAACTTGTTCAGAAAGGATTCTGTACTCTTCTTATAATCCATTACATGAGTTATCGTGTTTTGCTAGCCCAAAAGTTAAAAAAAAAAGCAAGAGTGTTTTATCAAACAGTCACATGAGACTCGGTAATTTAGAACTGAAAAATGTCTTCAGTCACTTAACCATTATGAGATATCATTTTTATTTGACATTGAATTAAATTTAAGGGATGCGTGGTTGCTTAAACTGATCCCAATCCGAAATTGGATTTCTGTTACGTTTAACGCACCTCTCCACAAATATTGACTTTCAAACTTATTTGTAATATAAAAATCTAAATAAAAGATTAAAGTATGTAGGCATCGGATACCTACTCAGTAGGTAATTACTTTGAAGTAATTACACCTGCTTACCGCTTGGCTGCTACAACAGCAATAAACCTATAAGAATAGGCTAATAAAAAATAAGGCAAATTTCCCCTTCCATTTTGTTTACGAATTTAATTTTAATACTCGCTAAATGTTATCCTTGCTTCCGATTGAGGCGAACTAGATGAGTGTCATAAATCATTCCGGTAACAAATTTGCGGGAATAATTTTGACAAACAACTGACAAATTCTATCCACAACACTCAGCGTGCATGATGGTGTGACACATATTATCGCCTCGGCTATTTCCGATGCCACTTCACACGGTCGCACATATGCGACTCTGCTGCCGGGGTGTGAAATCATGTCACCGATGACACAACCACGTCGTTATTATTAACTGTCGGAATCACACACATGTCTCGCTTAATAGTTCATAATTGTATACCGTCGGGTTCTTATGAACAAGCTTTTAAGACAACCCGACCAGACTTTGGTACAACGTCGTCTGCTATGCCTTTTTACTGCTTTGCTGCACTATCTTTTATTGGTGTCATTTGTCATCTAGTTCCGGCTTTCATTCTCTAGCGCCTGCATCTATCAGTGAAAACCTATTAATTAAGAATAGGTAGGTATACATTTAGGAACAAGTGCAGATTAACCATTCTAGCATGATCTACCGAGAAATTAAGGTACAAATTAAATCGGCGGAGATCGAAAAATATGTATCAAGTATCCCTGCCTAAAACGAGGAGGTGTGCATTAGGGGCATTGCTCCACCACCGAATGTGTTTTCTTTCTTTCTTTCTTCTTCACAAAATGCATTAAGATTCCGAGTGGTCACATTAGAACATTCAATGAAAATTATTCGTAAAACATGAAATTATACCACCTCTTTGAATTTCTCTCTCACCAATGTACAACGTGGTGGACTATCTAATGACAAAAACGCAAAAGTGCACTTCACGTGACGGTAGATCATAGCAGTGAATTGCACGGTAACTAATTGAATACAAATGTCGCACAGACAGAGAAATATTACAAACACTGCTGGCTCTATACGTAACGGTATTATTGTACTTTATTCTATCCTAACTGTCGCCGAACAGTGAATTTTACTAATTCGATGAGTGGACTGTTTTGTATTATTGAAACCACAAATCAAATATTTCCATTAGATGCGCAATATTTAATATAGAATTGAAATTTATCATTCTCTTGTTAGATTTTACTCAATAATATTACAAATACGAGTGAATATTATCATTCTATAAAAAAAAACGATAGGTGTACTTGTGTATATGTATAATATGCACAAATGTATAACTAGGGACACTGCCTGTTGCTAAATAACGACATCATTGCACAGTGTATGCGTAAGTTTTTGAATGCAATGTTTAGGTCACTGTTCACCTTACATTTATTTACATATGTTACCTATAATATTATTAATATAAGATTGCGTGTGCGTCATCAGCATAGTCTGTACGAAGCAATCT